CCTGAAGCAGCACAGCTGCAAGGAAAACACCAGCTCACTTTCAAGAAAGGTTTTGCCTGGGTATTTGCTGTTTCTACCCTGTTTCTGGGAGCACAGAGCCTGTCTGACTTCCCTGAGCATTTCCCCAGAGGATGCACAGGGGTTTGTGGGGCCTTGGTTCACTGAGCTGGGTTAAATCTTGGAGGAGGATGGAAGGAAATATAATCCCTCAAAACCATGGCATTGCCCAAGGATGGTGCTCAGTGAGCCCCTGTGGGATGGGGCTGCAGGCAGCATCCCTGGGAGGGCAGGAGCACAGGATAAACCTTCTTTTAGAGGTTTGGGGCAGTGGATGCTCAGTCCCCTTCTCTGTTCAGGTCTCTTCCTCTCCCCCAGGCCAAAATGAGGGATGAGCCAGAGAGCAGTGGCTCCATGGCCACCACCACAGGATTCCCCAAGGAAGGGACTGGAGCAAATCTCACTCTGAAGCCATTTCATCCTTGTGCCAAGTAGGGAGAAGTTTTGTCCACCCTTGACCTGGTCTTCCAGGTTCTCTTTGCAGCCTCTGTGCACAAGGGACTTTGCTCCAGAGGTGGGTGACAGGTGACACATGAGGAGCCCATCAGCATCCCCAGGAGGGCTGTGAGATGGGAACTGTCAGCACTGCCTGTGCCCAGTGCTGCAGCTGTCCCTGGTGCTCAGATAGGATTGCTGAGGCAGGGAGGGGAGCAGCCCTGTGGCAGCAGTTGCAAAACATCATGTTTTTCTTGAAAGCTCTGAGGTCTAAGCCACAAAAAACCCTACCAAGCCCTGAGCAGGGAGCGGATGCAGCCCAAGGTGGCACCTTTTGACTCAAGATAGGGCAAACCCAGAGACAGCAACACCTTAAAACCACAGGAAACCTTGAGAAGAGCAGAGGTGTCACATCACTGTCACGACCAGGCACAGGCAGCGTTTGGGGGTGGGAGCTGGTGCTAGAGCTGGCCCCTGGCAAGGATCAGGGTCCTGGCTGCACAGCCTTATGGCCCTTAAAGAACCTACAAAGCATCTTCAGGCTTTGGGTGGTGGTGAGAAGGGGACAGGGTATGTGGCTCATGGGGGACAGCATGTGTGCAGCCTCTCAGAGGTGACAGCCACAGCTATTGTCTGAAGAAGATTTGGTTTCAGCCTAGCCACTGACCCCTTCCTGGCTAGGTGGAAATATCTGGGGATAACATCACCCCAAGAAATAGAGAGAGAGCAGAAGGTCATACAGACCCTTACTCCTTGTCTGAGCATCTTCCTAATTTTGTGGAGCTTTCATCCACCTCTTCTGAGTCCTGCTCTGACCACTGCCCTTCCAGCAGCCCCACATCCTGCCTGCAGCCCCTGTTCCCTGCATGTGTGAGGTCCAACCCTGGGGACCAACACCCAGAGGGTCCCTCCTGGCTGAGCACATGGCTGCCATCCCACCACCCCATGTTCCTCCCACATCCCACCAGCACCATCAGCACCAAAACCAGAAGCCTTGGTGAGAAGTTGAGCTGGGAGGAAGACAAGGTTCTCCTGTGGGTACCACAGCAGCAAGAGCAAAATCAAACCCACTTGGTGTCAGTCTGGACTCATCCCCTGGTGGTCTCCATCCTGCTCAGGTCAGTGCTTTGGTGGGCACCAACCCTCCACCCAGCATCTGGCACCCATCCCTGGCTGCTCCTCACCTGTGTCCTGCATCAGTGTCTGACCCAACCCCAGCACTGCTCCCTGTCCCCAAAACTGGGCAGCACTGTCCCATCTCCAGTGGGGACTTGGAGTGGCCTTCTGACACCTCCCAAAAAGCAGCAAAGGACCACGATATGTGCAGGAGAGGACAGGACTGAGCCCTGTGGCAGGAAGAGAAGAGGACATCCCCAGGGTGCCCGAGGGGGACAGGTTGGGGGGGACCCCAGGAGGGCCCTGCTTGCACTCACCATGGTGTCCCTGCGTGCTGGCCCAGGGATGGGGTGTTCAGTGCTGCTGTCACCGAGGGCCCAGTGCCATCCCAACACACTTTTGTGTTTCTGCTGCAACTACAAATTGCAACTAATATTTTTTTCCTCCTCCCACTTCCTCATTTCGTACTGCTTTGCTGGGGGTGGGGAGGACAATGGTGGCTCTGCTGCCAGGGGACCTTGGGGTGGCTCTACTCAGGGTGTCCCCACCTCTGCTGCTGGTGCTGGGTGTCACTGACCTGGGTAAGCAGGAGGATGCTGCATAGACTCTGGCAGAGATGCTCAGAACCTCCTTAAAACCTTTCCCAGCACGATGACGGTTTGATGAGACCACTCTAGGGGTGGCCACTTGCTGCTGGAGGATGCTGAGCTTTGAGGTAGTTTTAGGTGCAAGATGGTTTTGGTTAGTGCTTTGTTTTTTTTCAGGTCTTTTGAATAAAAAAGGCCACACTTGAGGAGCAGAGAGAACCAACACGCTGCGGCAGGAAGCCAAGGCCTGAGCACAGCTCTCCACCACCATGTCCCCACTGTCACCTGAAGACACTTCTAGATCACAGAATCACAGATTGGTCAGGGTTGGAAGGGACCTTAAAGATCATCTTGTTCCAATGACCCTGCCATGGACAGGGACACCTTCCCCTAGATCAGGTTGCTCAGAGCCCCATCCAACTTGGCATGAATATGTACAATGCTGACTGCATGAAACTGCATGCACAAAATGAAAAGTCTCCTATGATGGGGAAAACAGCAAGAGAAAGTGTGTGTGCATTAGCCCCACCTCCCCCTTGCCCTGTCCCTCCATCCCTTGTCCCAAGTCCCTCTCCAGCTCTCTTGGAGCCTCTTTAAGCTCTGGAAGGGTCTCTAAAGTCTCCCCTGGAGCCTTCTCTTCTCCAGGCTGAACACCCCATCTCTCCCAGCCTGGATCTGGTGCTGTGGCCTCCTCTGAACTCACTCCAGCAGCTCCACATCCTGCTGTTTGAGGCCCCACAGCTGGATACAGCACTGCACATGGGGTCTCACAAGAGCAGAGCAGAGGGGTAGAATCACCTCCCTTGACCTGCTGGCCTAGATCAGCATTACCAACACAGAGTCTGTTCCTATGTGCCCCACAGCAGCTCTGGGTGAACCTCCACCTCTCTGACCCACTCCAGTCACTTGGGCTGCAGGGAAAACCCTCTCTTGCTTCCAAACCTCTCCAGTGTGAGCACAAGGATTGTGGTGGTGTGGGTGATTCAGAGCTCAGGCTCAAAAAACACAAGAGGGACCAGAAGCTGTGCCCGGGATCGTAGCTACTCCTTTATTATAAATCATGCTGTTACGTCGCTCCTCCTCAGAGTTAGTATGTTAAACATTTTTCATTATATATATATCTATATAAAAAGGTGAAAACACCCCCTCCCCTCACCAAAATGTCAGAACAGAGCATGGCACCAGGAAGGAAGACAAATGAGGGCCCTCTCGACAGCCAGGCAGGGGTTGCTGAGCACCAGAGAAGCTGCAATCAGCTGAGGAGTGGGTGAAAATAATGGTACAGATGGTAGAGTAACACATGGATGCTGGCAGGGTGGAGAGGTTTGCTCTGGGAAAGAGGGCTGTCCCCTCCCTGCACCACCCAGATGACCCCAAAGGAACAGAACATGGCTTTGGACAAGATTTCCCATCTTTGATTGCAGAAAGGCCTGAAAATCATGATAATAATAACAAAACTGATAACAAAAAGCACATGCTTTGGAGATTTGAAGTTCAGGTCTCCTTGGCAGCTGCAGTGGCCCATGGAGAAGAGATGTATTTGCTCAGCTTTGGCCAGGTGACCTGGAGGAATCTCAAGCCTGCTCTTTTCCCATCACTGGAGGTCTCCTGTGGCAGAGGAGTGGGTGACACTGGGATTGGCACCCTGAGGCCACAGTGGCATGTGGCCAGGCTGCCTTTGGGGGCAAAGCACCTTTTGGAGACTAAGCACCTTTTGGAGGCTAAGCACCTTTTGGAAGTAAAGCACCTTTTGGAGGCAAAGTAGCTGCAGAGGCTGTGGTATTTGCTGGGCAAGGCCCTGCCAGGACCAGGCAGGCTGGTCCTGAGTTATGGCCATGGGGACACTGTGACAGGACAGTTCTTGTCCTGCATCCTCCTTTGCTTTGCCCCCTGCAGCCTGGCACAGCCTCGATGCCCATTAAGTGATTGCAACCCCGAGAATGCCTCAGCCCTGACCTCAGCTCATGCTTTGAGGTGTTTCTGGAATAAAGAAATGGTCATAAGTGACAAGGGCTTTAAGGAAAAATAGGGGAACACCCCAATCAAAGTAGGTTTGATGTGAGAGTTTGGGTTACCCCCTCTCCCAGTTAAACTGTGCCACTGCTCTGCTCATGGAGTGACCTGCTCCCTGTCCCCTGCTGCATGTCCCAAGGTGACAGGATGCAAACCAAGAAAAAAATCCTGCTCCAGCCCCACTCTTCACAGCAGCTCATCTTCATCCATCACCCAGAAGCCACAAGCCACACTTGTCACCCACGGCACCTGAAACCTCCTCCCTGTCCCCTCTGGGATTCCAGGGGAATGGCAGCAGCCCCTGGCATGCTCAGGCTCCCAGGGACACCCCACTGTGGACCATGGTGCTCAAGACACGGGCACAGAACAGGATGAGGCAGGAGCAGGGCAAGTAGTTCTGCTTCCCTCGGTGGCTCTCGGCGCCTGCAGGACCTGTGTCCACTACTAATAAATAACAACATCAGAATTTCAAGTAAAGTCCCTGCTGCCACTCTCTGCCCAGCTTCCTCCTCTTCCCACTGCTCATCCATAGGCTCCATCACACCAGGCTGTGGGGGGGGCTGCAGCAGCTGGCAGTGGTTTAACTGGGAACATGCCATTGTGAAGCTTGGGGGCGAAGGGTGCATGTCTGTGGGGGACGGGTTTGGGTGACGCCAGCTCCCACTGGAAGCACAACCAGTGTCTGTGTTGGGCCCAGGGGACATTCCCAGGGCAGAGAGGAAGGGCACAGCTCGGTGGCCCTCCGGCGTAGCTTTTGCCTTCCAGTTTTCCCACGGGGGTCAGGCTGTGTCCCTAGTGCCCCTGGCATGTTTTACAGCACATCTGTCGGAAATAGGTCCGGCTGCAGAACTTGAACTTCAGGACGAGTGGGCAGTAGGCCACCTTGTTCACATCCTTGCACTCTGGATGGGTGACAGAGGGAAGGAAGCAGGGTTAGAGCTGCCTCAGGGTGAGGAGACCCCAGTGTTCAGCTCCTGGGGGAGTTCTTGCCAGGAAGCTGCAAGATGCAGCCATGATGAAGAAGTTACTGCGAACCTCATTACTGAAAGCTTCTCTTTGCCTAAGTGCAGTTACTTCATTTCTTAGATCATGGCATGCCAGGTTGGCCTGGGATCAGAGGGGACAGCAACAGCTCACAGAATCCCAGAATAACCATTGGGTTGGAAGGGACCTTCAAGCTCATCTTGTTCCAACTGCCCTGCCATGGGCAGGGCCACCTTCCACTAGACCAGGATGCTCCACAACCCATCCAACATTTCCAGGGATGGGGTCTCCTCACCTAGAGCACACCTTGGGCTGTGGTGGCTCTGATGTCCCTGCACCAAGCAGCCTCTGAGCTGGCAGTGCCCCACATTTCCCTCCACAGAGACCCTGCTGCCCTCACCTTCAGGGTTGTCTGTAGGTCCTGACTCACACTTGGTCTCACACTGCTGCATTCCAGGTGGCTGCAGGGTCTCCACACAGTCACTGGATGGCTGCCCAGTGTGAGCCAGGCACTGGACGGATCTTCTTTGCTGGCCAAGGCCACACTGGGCAGAACACTGTGGGGACAGCATAGAAGAAGCTGCAGAGTCTGCCACAGCTTTAGTAACATGGGGAGAGGGGGCACAGGTTGGGGTTAGGAGGTGCAAAGGGGGCTGGATGTGGTTATCCTTTCCCTCCCCAGCAGCTGCAGAACTTCATGGCATGGCTGGGTGCAGTGGCCATGCTCCCAAAAAGCTTTGAACCTCCAGGACTCAGTAAGGATTTTTCCATCCAGCTCTAAATAACTGCCCTTTTCCAGGCCTCCTGTACCCTGATGTCACCCTGCAGAGCAAGGGGTGTCAGAGACAAGGCAAGACTGTCAGCATCACCCTGATGGGCTGTGGTAGGGGGAGTAGCAATGGCCCCACTTGCAGCTGGGTCACCTCTGCAGCCTGTCACTTCAATTGCTCCCCAACCTCACTGCCCTGCTGCCCCACAGGTACACCCTGCTAAGCCCAAGAGATTCCCTGAGTCAGCTGTGCCCTTGGGCCACCATCACAACAGCCTCCTGAGCCAAGAGGGGACAAAGAGCACCACCACAGAGTCCTGTTGCCCCCCAGATAGTTGTGGTGGCCATAGGAGGTTTGCTGGCTGGTAAAAGCCTGATGTGCACTAGGATTTGAGGGGCTGAGGAGGTGGAGGTTTCTGCAATGCTCCTGTCAGAAGGACTGTCCCTACCTCTCCCCACTCGCCAGTGACCCAGCGGGGCGGTGGGCAGCGCCGCAGGTTGCACCTCATGCTGGTGGGGGGTTTGGAGCCCTCGTGGCACTGGGAGGTGGGCAGAGTTGCACTGTGGTCACCACTCTTGCAGAGGACGATGCGGTGGCGGAAGCCTGGTCCACAGTTTGGGGTGCACTGCAGAGAGAGGACGTGTGGTCAGGGTGTTTGGCAAGGAGCAGAGAGAGGCAGCTCTGGCTCTCCACCTGTGCTCCTCCTTTGCCTGTCTCCTGAGCTACAAGACCATTCCCCACATTACACTCTCCATTGGCAGCAGCCAACACTGGTGCTCTGACCTGGTGATTGACAGAGTCCTCCTATGGACCAGTGTCCTCAGAGAGCTGAAGAGTATTGTGAATCACAGAATGCCCTGAGCTGGAAGTGACCCATGAGGATCATCAATCCAACTCCTGGCCCTGCACAGGACACCCCAACGATCCACCCTGTGCCTGAGAGCATTGGGCAAACACTCCTGGAGCTCTGTCAGCCTTGGGGCTGTGACCACTGCCCTGGGGAGCTGTTCAGTGCCCAAACACCTCTGGGGGATGAACCTTGTCCTGATATCTAACCTAACCCTGTTCCAGTGCCCAAACACCTCTGGGGGAAGAACCTTGTCCTGATCTCCAACCTAACCCTGTTCAGTGCCCAAACACCTCTGGGGGAAGAACCTTTTCCTAATATTCATCCCAAATCCCCTGACACAGCTCCAGCCATTCCCTTGGGACCCTTCCCTGGTCCCAGAGAGCAGAGCTCAGTGCCTGCCCCTCTGCCTCCCCTTGTGATTTGCTGCAGACCCTGTTGAGTCTCCTCTCAGTCTTCTCTGCTCCAGCTGAACAGACCAAATGTCCTCAGTCACTCCTCAGACCCTTCTCCTGATGACCCTTCCTCAGCTCCGTGTCCCTCCTTTGGCACTTACCTCTGACCAGTCCAGGGCAACCCACTCTGGAGGGCACGTCTGGTTGTTGCATGGCTCAAGCATTTTTGGCCGTGGGTGGGAGCAAGAAGCATCATCCAAGGTCTTGTCATCAGTGGCAGAGATCTTACGCTTGCAGAAGACGCTGCGTGTGCGGACGCCTTCATTGCAGCTTCGGCTGCATTCCGACCAGTTCCCAATCACCCACCTGGAGACAGGTCAAACAGCAAAGCTTAGGAGGGGCATGGTGGGCCAGACTTGCCTCTGTACTCCTGCACACAGTCCTAGTCCTACTCTGCCCACAGCCTCCCAGGCAGCTCTGGTTGAACCACAGAGCTCCTCCACATCACCCCCTTCCCTTCAAGAGAGTGGCAAGGACAGGCAGAGAGGGGCTGGACCAATTTCTGGGGGAACTCACTAAGTATCTGATGCACAGAGGAGAAAACTCCCCCCTATACCCCAGCAGAGCTGCTCCAGCCAGGCTGTGTCACCCTGTGGGTGCTGTGATGGACAGCTCTGGCTAGGGAATGGCAGAGAGGGGGGAATTTCACCCTCTTCCATATTATTTTTTCCAGCCTTACTCCCCCCATCTGCTCCACCCATGGTACTCACGCTGGGGGACATGGTTCGGTATTGCACGACCTCTGCCGCTCGGATAGTTTGGTTTCAGAGTTACAGAAATGGTTGGAGACGATTGAGCCATCGGAAAGTTTCTTGCATACCACAGACTGGATCTGGCTGCCTGCCAAGGGGAAGAGGAAAAAGAGGAGGATTCTGAGGTTTGTGGCAAGCCAGGCTGTGGGTACCAGCCCCACAGCTCTGCTCCTATGGAGACGATGTGATGGAGCAGCCACTTGTCCCTGGCACATCAAGCCTGAACATCTCTATTCATAACCAAGGCCTCCCCTGTCTCTGGCATCTCCAGTCAAAAATGGATGGTGTGAAATGATTGTGTCAATGCCTGGACATGGCACTTTGTGCTCTGGTCTCGTTGTCAAGGTGGTGATCAGTCAAAGGTTGGACTTGATGATCTTGGAGGTCTTTTCCAACCTGAATGATTCTGATTTCTAGGGCTCACCAGCAGGACATGTCAGACAATGGAAGACCAAAGCATTCTAAAGATCTCATCCTCAGACAGACCTGTTCTAATGTTGGCCTTGTGACACTTTCTGGGGGGAATAGCTGAAACAAGAAGGGACAACACTTGTTCAAGGTCTAGCACACAAGACCAGGTCAGGGCCTTGAGCTTTAAGCAAAGAACATTATTAAGCCATGCTGATATCTGTGCACTGTCTCATGTGGCCCAGACACAGCATGTGGGAGCCACAGGAGTGCAGACATGTGTCCCTCCAAACCAAGACAGGGTCAAACCTCACCCCCTGCACACAGCACTGAGCATTTGGTCCATGGGGTGTAGTGCCAGGAATACTGATTGGAGCCATCTCTGCCAATGGGTGCGTTGAACTTGTACCGGATCCCCTGCAGCTCCGTCCTCACAAGCACCTGTGGAGAAAGGCACCACTGATGTCCAGCATGGCTGTGACCATCTGGATGGCATCCCACAACCTCTCCAAAATCCAGGGCAGCAGAAATCTTCCCTCCTTCCCTTTCCAGTTCCTCCCAGAATTGACACAGCAGCCCCCAGTGATGACGGTGGTGCAGCTATGATGATGACATGATCAGAGAACAAACTCCTGTGCACTCAAAGGTTGAATCATCACAAAGCCTGTCAGATTAGGAAGGGAGACCAGAAGATTTAGCCCGATTTACCTCTGAACTCTGTGTCCCTTTATTCCATACAGCAAGGACGGGGCTGATAGCTCCAATTCTCCTGTAGTTATAACAAGGTGTCTTTAGCCCTGACCAGGCCCATGAAGGAACTATTGTTACCAACCATGACAAAGAGGGTGATGTTGGTAGGTCCCAAGGCCTCCAGTGACTCGGGCTCCTCTGGGGATCTCCTGTAGTGGAATGTTGTGCCAGCGATGTCAAAGCGCCGGGGGGGATCGATGGAGAGCTTCCCATTGATGTAGTATTCACCACCCTCCCCTCTCAGTGCTGCAAGGACAGGGGGGAAAGGTTAGCACAAAGGCTGCACACACCTTTACCAGCTTCAGCCAGGTGCTTCTCATCTGCCAAGCTCAGAGCATTGCTACCATGAGGGTAAATAGTATCAGCTTCACCTTAGAGGGAGGGGATAGGTGGGGTCTGGGTCAGGTCACACAGAAAGTCACCAGCTGAGTGGGACCAAGGTACCCATCCTCTCATCTCAGCCTGCCCAGCACCTCCCTGCGGGAGGGTGATGCTGCAGGGAGCTCAGCCAGCTGCCTGGGGTGGTGCTGGGGACACCTGGCAGTGTGACAAGCTGTGGCCATGAAGCCAGGCTGAAATCCAGCTGTGCAAACTGGGTCTTGGCTGCTGAGGCTACTGGAGTCTGCTGGGGCGCCGAGCAGGGCTGTGCTTGCCCGGGCGAGTCGCTAGAGGGGGATCGGATCGCTCGCTCCTTCCCGACAGCATTCCCACGCTCTCCCTTCTCTCTCTGCCTCCAGCACTCTGGGAACAGCTCTGTGCCAGCCACCGGCACTCTGGGACCAGCTCTGTGCCACTCCTGCCCTCGCTGCTGGCAAC